CATAACAGAAGATTTGTTTGTCTCTTTGACTGTCTTCAGTGTTTTCTCCAGTATTTGATTAAAAGAAAAAAAATATTGTCAGCAATTTGTCTCTAGTCGTTGTCTTCCATCTTTTTTTAAATCCCTTTCCACCCCCCCTTTCTTTTTCTGAAGAGTTGGTTGAAACTAAGAGGCTATGGTGGTAGTGGAGAGTAGCAGTAGCAACAGGGCAGTCAAGCTGCCGGTACCAACAGGATGTGCCTATTCCAATGATTCATGAAAACAAGGGTGTGGCGCAATATTCATTGGACAACTTACTACAACAAGGAATGATTCATCGCTCTTACATGTTCCTCCCTGCAAACACGTTTTTTACACTCTCTCTATTTCCTTCCTTTTTTCTCTCTCTCTCACACACTTTCTATAACTTGAGTCTCTTAAAAGCAGAATTTTTTTTTTTTTTACAAATTCACAGTCACAATAGTGATTTTTTTAAAAAGATTCATAAGATCTTTCTTACAGTTAAGAGTGTGTCTCCGTCAGTCAAAAGGAAAAGTGATTTCTTTTTTACCCCTTTTAAATTACAAGTAAAATTTACAACAAAACTAAATGGTACAAAAGCACTTAGAAAGTTATCACCATTCTATAACAGCAGAGTATATAGAAAGTTCTTGAAAAATTGGACTTGTAAATGGCTTTATGCACATCCCGTGTCAATACCAAACAAGGAGATTCGATTAAAATAGACAAATAAGACTAAATGGTCTTTATTTTCTTGAGAGTTTCATTTCTAGAACAGAATTTAATTGAATCTCATCTTTCCAAGTTTTTTTTCTTCTCTAGCATAATCAGGTTCATCAAACAGCTTAGCGCTGAACACTTATTTTACTGAGGAAGGAAATCAAAACTAATAAGTAGTATCAAGTTATTGGGAGACTTCTTCCATATATATATATATATATATATATATATATATATATATATATAGAGAGAGAGAGAGAGAGTTTCATTGAATAATATAGACATGTTCCTGTCCACCATCACAATACAGAAAACTACTTGTTAACAACAGCAATATACTACACCATGAAAATAATAAACAAAAACTTCAAATTCTCAAGGCCCTCTATATCAAAAGCAACCAACCAACACTCAACAAAATTTATTACAAATATAGCAACAACATATTAAAATCCATATGAGAAACATTTAATGACATTTTGTATTTCTACCAGTTCCTAGTTAGCTACCTTATATTGGGATGCTTGTTTTGCAAAAAAATTCCATAGCTACAACGGATAACTTAAAAATTTTAAAATAATAATAATAATAACAGTGCGTTCATGATTGTTTTTAAAAAAAAAAATCACCATTCCAACAATCACAGTTACAATAAGTTTGCCTTTTCAGTTCACCCCTGAGTACTTTGGTAGGAAAAAACTATGGCACCTTCCTTGATGAATTTCATCTTAACATCAAGAAAATGATTAGAGAAATAGAAATGATTAGAGAACTAGAAATGATTATTATAAAAATAAATAGACATAATATGTTTATATTATTCAATGAAATGTTTGAATGAAGATATTCTGCATATATATATATATATATATATATAAAGAAATATAGTCTTAAGATGTGCTATATTTATGGGATAAAGTGCTCAATATCAGAGATAGAGCGTGTGTAAATATAAAAGTGAACATAGAAGTCAACACTTAGAGGCAACAGTGTTTCATGCTATATGCAATCATTAGGCCACGTGTGCTGTTATTTTTCTCAGCTATATAGATAAGCCATAAAAAAATAATCAATAAAATGTACAAAGAATAACAACAATAAATTCAAGTGGGCAATGTCTAAATAAGACAGAACAATCTAAGAGTGAATCAAAAACAAAAAAATACAGCAAAACTTGAAAAGTAATTTTTTTTCCTGACTGTTGAGCCTTTGAGTACTAGGTTTGATCTATAATGATTCTAGTGTCCGTAGCCTGAAGAACCAGACAGTATATGTTTAATCACCAAGAATTGTGGTCTGTTTTTAATTTTATCTTTTATATAAAATGATCATTTGCCATTATTTTATGTTCACCAAAATACTGATAGGATAAAAGTGACAGATTTTCTTTGTAAATAACTATTTAATTTGTAATCTAAAACTTACTCAGGTACAGACTGGACAATTTGCACTTTTGAAGAATATTGTGATGTTCCAGTTTTTTGTGATTTAGATTTGAATATTTTAGGAAGGAAATAATATTCATGTCAAAATATGAAGTTTAATTTTATGTTCCATGTAATTGTTCTTTTCTATAAGCTTAAAGCTTTCTGAAATGGTTCTCCTTTCAACAAAATTTACTGCAGATAATTGTAAAAAAAAAAAAAAAACTGTGATAAATCATTTCAGGATAAAGGCAACAGTTGCTAAAAAGATTCTTCAAAAATTAAGGAAGATATACTAAATATTCTTTTTATTGGTTTGAATTGACTAATAAAAATTTACCAAGCTTAACCAATCAGAAGTCTTCACTTAGCAACAGGGTTTTATTGTTTTTTTTTTGCCTGAGACAAAAGGAAGGAGAATATAACTGGCCTGAACAGAATCAGTAGTCAACATACAGTGGGGTCATCAGTAGCATCTTTGTATGTTAATATGTTATGCAGTCTGCCTGGTGCCTTATGGCACATAAGACATCTGATTAGGTTTCTGTAATCAGATTGTTCCACAGGGTAAGGTGATTGGCCCCCACACCCAACCTATTCTGAGGAAGGTTTTCTGCTGGGGTTTTCCTCTCCTTAGAGAACCATGTGTTCCCATGCTAATTAGTTCTACTAACCCAGGTTTGAGAAATCAGAGTTTTCCTTCTCCTAGACTGATTGACAAAAAAAGTTGAACTCAGTCTGCCCTACTATTTAACCTATAGCTGGGGGAGAAGAAAAGAATTCACATCTTTCAAAAGGGTATTTGCATAAAAGGGAATTTAATGAACTTGACTGCAATTTGAACTTGGCAATGCTGATTTCTTGTTCCCAGCAGCTAATTGCCACACCATCAATATGTTCACATTAATATGTATTCATGATTTAACCTGTAGGTGGTATTGCTTCTTATTTTTTTTAGCATGTTACATGTAGGTAATAAAATTTGTATTATTCCCAGTTTTACTAGCAATGCTATGAAGCATTATTTTAACATTATTTTAATGAAGGTAGTATATATAAGTCCAACTAAACACCCACCATTATCCTGAAAGTAGTTGTATAATGTTCTGAAATCATTTTATAATGAAGAAACAGATGCCCAATCACTGAACAAGCAAAAAAAATAAATAAAAGACCCTAAATACTACATCATATACTTATATAATTTATTGCAAACAGAAAAGTAATTCAGGTTTTTTTTTAGTTTTTTTTTACCATCCATATTTAATGTGGAAAGTAAAGGTTGGTCGGGTATAATGCCCTAGGCACATTACTCAAACATGGCCTGAGGCAAAATGAAAGTCTACAAGTCCAGTGAAGCTATTACTTCTAACGAAATATCAGATTTGCTAATTTTGTCTCATTATGAAAAAAGGCCAAGGTCAAAATTACAGAAAGGAAGTTTAGTTTAATTATTAAACAGTCTCCACTCTTCCCTGCCAAAATAAATTTTTGAAGGATCATTTATTTAGGGGATCTGGGGTGTGGTGGAAGGTAATTGCTCGACATACAGATGACAACCAGATGATAGAAACTGATGAAGAGAAAGATAGAAGATTAAATATAATCTGGCATATATAAGTTCTCGCATACCAGCAACTGAGGTCACCTGCTAGTTGTTCACTTTCAACTGGTACTGACATAGTTTCAGATTTTTTTTTTTTTCCGAATGTGGATACTGGACAATCAGTTCCAACTAGTTTGGGTGACAGAGTTAAATTTAGGAAAGGAGAGAGAAAATATAAGTTAAAAATAAAAAAAAAAAAATGACAAGATAAAACAAAGGGAAAGTTCCAAGTCAAATAATGAATCCATAAGGTTTAGATTTAGGTCTCAAAATTGTAGTTTTAGGATTGTCTTGTAACACAATAGCCAAAAACAGGGATGTTCAACCCACAGACAGTGAGAATCTCTGAGGCTCCTTTAATATTTTCCTGCAACCAACTGCACCCTAAAATCTTTAGGTATATTTCAATTTACTTTAGTAACGTATGTCGAGAAAATTATGCTCAGATTGTGTTAGTATTGCTCTAAAAGTGGAAGAAGGCAAAGGCCTTTGTCAAGACATACCGGCTGGTGCATGGGGCAAGAACCAGAGTAAATAAAAATTGTTTAGCTTATCTAGAAAACTGTTATACATGTGGGGTAATACATACTGCTTTGTTATGATGAGCTTTCAGATGGTTTACATAACCTGCCCTTGACAACAGCACGTGTTCACATAACACATTTTCAAGACTGCATATTAGTTAGTAAATCATTGAATGATTCGTGTGTTCATTTTCATTGGCTTCTCAAACCTTTGCAAGTTATTTAAAGGCCAGAAAATATTTTTAGACTGTAATAATTTTTTTGTAGATAATGATTTAGTGATACAAATCTTACTAATTGACCTATAGTTGAAGGTAAAGATGGTGGTTCCATGACTTTCCCCAAGGGTATTTGCATGCAAGTGAATATAATGAACCCAATTGAAATTGGAAGCTGACTCTCCGATTAACAATGTCATCATCCATTATTCCACTCACATATCTAACCTTACAGCTCCTGGTATTCTCAAGTGATATTTAGAAACCCCCCATGAGGGTTACATATGGCACAAGACCGGGTTTAATGTGGGATTTCTGAGCCCATAGGCTCAGCCAAAAATATTCCCTCTTTGAACCCGCATAAACGGTTTCAGGGGCAGTTAACCTACCCACATAAACGGTTTCAGGGGCAGTTAACCTCCCCAAACGAGACTCTGCCCTTTGGTGGAGCAATGTCCGGGTTCCTCTCCGCCCGAAAGCAGAGAGTTAGATTGTTACTTAGCCCAGAGCCTGGTATTCTCAAGTGGTCACCTATCTAAGTAGTGACCAAGCTCAACATTGCTTAACCTCTATGTTCATATGGGAACAAGTGTTTCAATGTGATGCAGAGTTGACAGATCAGAGTGAGTGCTTCTTTGCAGATCATGCTTGATCTGAGCATGCCCAAGACATTCATCCTCAAAGGTGTTGCATCCCTTCCTAACAAAGTGCCTGCACTCTGTATGATTTAAAGTCAGTTCTTCCCAATGCTGCACATCCATGTGCAATGCATTTAGATTATCCAAGAGATAATCTTTAAACCTCTTCCTAGGCTTGTGTTGGGGATGTTTTCCTGGCTTCAGTTGTTTATAGAAAAGTTGGGAATTTTGTTATCCTCCTTTCTCACATGTCTTGTACATTGTATTTAGATGATTATTACTGTTGCATTCAGATCTTTAGAGAACAATAGTGTCTGGAATCAAAGAGTGCCATGTGACATTAAGGATGCATCTCAGGCATTTTTGGTGGAATTTCTAAAGCCATTTTATATGCCTCCAGTATCTTGCCAATGTTTCAGAAGGGTACAGCAGGGATTTTAAGAAACAGACTATATACACACTTACTTTAGTCTTGATGGTAATGACCCTATCTGATCAAACTCTTAGTACTTCCAAGGAAATTAGGGAAAGTGTCAACAACATCCAGCCTGGTATATTTCACAAATATTGTTGACTCTTTGTAGGGGCACACTAGGTGCAGGGGTGAACATCACTTTCCTTTCTCAGGCTAACCCTCAGTCCAAAAGCATCACAAGTAGCAGAGAAGCAATTCATTATGAGTTGCAAATCTCCCTCAGAATGAGCTAAAAAGTCTGCATCATCAGGATACAGCAAATCTCAGATCAGGCACCAAAACTTTTGGGGATTTTGAAACTTCTGAGACTGAACACTTCCTGATATTCTAAATCTGAAGGAAACTCCTGCCACACAGTCAGGAGTAGTGCTTACTATGTTTAAAACCATCCAACCAAGGAGCAAGCCTGATTGGGGGCCCAGGTAATGCTTTGTGACCCTTGCTATCTTAACATTTACTTTTATTTTTTTTTAACTATGTTTATATATGCTACAAATTTAACTAAGCACAACTTACTATTAAAGGGTGAAATATTTTTTTTTACAGGTTTTGACATTGGGATCTTTTTATTTTTTCATTCAAATCCATGAATTTGTTTCCTCCCAAAACTCACTATTTTTTATCCAAAATAACAAGAAAAATCTCAAGTTGATGTTAAAAATTGCCGCAAAATATTGATGATTTATTTAAGGAATTATCTATTATGACATGTCTCTAATTTGTATTTAGACATATTGTATATATTTTCAATTTTTCTGTTTGAATTGTTCACCTATATTGCATATAATCCATTATTGTACATAATTAGGTCACAATTAAATTGAGATGTAACAGAGTGGGGGCCTTGTATCATAGATTCTGTGGGTGAGGGGTGCATATATAAGAGCACAGCAAAGTAGATTGAGAAAAGTGTTGAGGCAGGAATGTCACCTTGTTTTACCACCATTGTCAACTGCAATCTCATATAAAAGTGCACCGTTGAATGTCAGATGAAACTTCATCTCACTAAGCAGCTTTTTCACTAAGTTGACAAAATTAGGAAGACAACCAATCTTACCAAGAATCCTCAACAACACATCAGTGTATATATATATATATATATATATATATGTATGTATATCTCCTCAACAAGACATCAGTGTGTGTATATATATATATATATATATATAAAGAAGAGAGTTTTTTTGGGTTTTTTTAGATTATTAAAATTTAAATTAAAATCTGTCTATATTTTTGAGATGAGGTATTGTAACTTGTCCTCATCTTTATTGTCATATTCACAAAGTTTCAGCCACTGTATGCACTGACCTTCAGGTCATATATGTTGGAATTTCAAATTAAACCTTTTATTTAGTCCACTGTGGTAGATTGTTCTTGTTCCACATGCCATGCCTTTTCTGGATATCTCAGTTTCAGTTATTTACCTTCAGTAATTCAACTCTCCAAGTTTTTGTTTGCCTCTGCTGTAGCAAGGTATTGAACTATTTTATTGACAATAAAAGATGAGGACAACAACCTCAACAATATAAATAGTGCAAATAGTTAAATAAAAATGTCTACTTCTTTCAATCCTAAATAGAGGCATCAAAGTTTTCATTCTGAATTTGCTTCATAGGTCATGACAATGAAAGACAATGTATGTTTCTTTGTCCATTCATTTTTTTTTTTTTTTTTTAGCTACGCCCTTGCAGTGTTATATACTTGCTAATGTCAGTCAAAATGAAAAATGATCAACCAGGAACTCACCAACCTTAGAATGCTAATCGTTGTTTCCTTGTTTGGTTCAATCAGCAAGACTTAAGTTCAAAACTTATAGTATGAGAAGTGCTGTAAAATTTCTGGGGATAATCAAGAAAGAATTAAAAAAACTAAATTCTAAATGCTTGTTTGGTCCAGTTTTGTAAATCATATCCACTGCTTGCAAATCTATTTTCTAAATTATACTTAAAAAAAAAAAAAAAAGATAAATTATGACTAATAACTATATTGTAAATATAAAAAAATTAATTTAATTTTCTCAAAGACATCAATGTCTGAGTAATCTGATTCAGAGAGAAAAAATCGGAAAGGTTTTTTCTTATTCATTTTCAGCGTTGGGATTTGGTTTCTGTCAAATATATGGGGAAGTTACATCCCTTCTGTGATAAAGTAGGTTTACAATGTATTACAAGGTAATTGATTAAAATATACATTTACATGAGAATGGAAAATTATATATAAACTTTTTTTTTTGAAAAATGTTTTGAACTCTTTTTTTTCTAACCAAAATGAGGAAAATACTTTAAAATGTTAAAAACTGGCATCGATTTTAAAACGGTATATTTTAAAATAGATTGTAGATTTTCTAGTGGAACAATCTTGGACACAAATACTTAAATTTTACCTGTTGAATTTGAGAACCTATCTTCAGAGTTAAGAAAAAGGGAGAAAAGAGAGAGAAAGAGCAAAGGAGTGGAGAGAGAGAGAGCAAAGGAGAGAGAGAGAGAGGAGAGGTGGAGAGAAAGAGAAAGGAGGAGAGAGAGAGAGAGAGGAGAGAGAGAGAGAGAGTGGAGAGAGAGAAGAGCAAAGGTGCAGAGAGAGAAGAGAGAAAGGAGTGCAAAGGAGTGAGAGAGAGAGAGAGAGCAAAGGTGCAGAGAGAGAGAGAGCAAGGAAGAGAGAGAGAGCAAAGGAGTGCAGAGAGAGAGAGAGAGCAAAGTGCAGAGAGAGAGAGAGAGCAAGGAGAGAGAGAGAGAAAGGGTGCAGAGAGAGAGAGAGCAAAGGAGGCAGAGAGAGAGAGAGCAAAGGAGGCAGAGAGAGAGAGCAAAGGAGGCAGAGAGAGAGAGCAAAGGAGTGCAGAGAGAGAGAGAAGGAGGTAAGGAGAGCAAGAGAGAGAGAGAGAGAGAAAGGAGTAGAGAGAGAGAGAGAGCAAAGGAGTGCAGAGAGAGAGAGAGAGCAAAGTGGAGTGCAGAGAGAGAGAGAGCAAAGGAGTGCAGAGAGAGAAAGGGAGTAAGAGAGAGCAGAGAGAGAGAGAAAGCAAAGGAGTGCAGAGAGAGAGAGAGCAAAGGAGTGCAGAGAGAGAGAGAGCAAAGGAGTGCAGAGAGAGAGAGAGCAAAGGAGTGCAGGAGAGGAGGTAGAGAGAGAGAGAGAAAAGGAGGCAGAGAGAGAGAGCAAGGAGGCAGAGAGAGAGAGAGCAGAGGCAGAGAGAGAGAGAGAGCAAAGGGAGTGAGAGAGAGAGAGAGCAAAGGAGTGCAGAGAGAGAGAGAGAGAGCAAGGAGAGGAGAGAGAGAGAGAGAGAGAACAAGAGTGCAGAGAGAGAGAGCAAAGGAGTGCAGAGAGAGAGAGAGTAAAGGAGTGAGAGAGAGAGAGAGAGGCAAAGGAGAGCAGAGAGAGAGAGAGAGAGAGCAAAGGAGTGCAGAGAGAGAGAGAGAGCAAAGGAGTGCAGAGAGAGAGAGAGAGAGCAAAGGAGTGCAGAGAGAGAGAGAGAGCAAAAGGTGCAGAGAGAGAGAGAAAGAGAGGAGAGAGAGAGGCAAAGAGAGAGAGAGAGAGAAAGGGAGTGTAGAGAGAGAGAGAGAGAAAGGAGTGCAGAGAGAGAGAGAGAGCAAGGAGTGCAGAGAGAGAGAGAAAAAGGAGTGCAGAGAGAGAGAGAGCAAAGGAGTGCAGAGAGAGAGAGAGAGCAAAGGAGTGCAGAGAGAGAGAGAGAGCAAAGGAGTGCAGAGAGAGAGAGAGAGCAAAGGAGTGCAGAGAGAGAGAGAGAGCAAAGGAGTGCAGAGAGAGAGAAAGAGCAAAGGAGTGCAGAGAGAGAGAAAGAGCAAAGGAGTGCAGAGAGAGAGAAAGAGCAAAGGAGTGGAGGGTCAAAAGTAGTTTTACTGTAATTTTTTCTGTTACAAAACATTTCATGTTTTGTAAAGTAACTCGTATCAGTGTCATGGTATGGGGTGCAGTGGTGTTGGATTTGACAAAACATCAATGAAAAATACTTCTCTCTACAAAAAAATTGAAGCTTCCTAATTACAAGACAAATTCATGTGAAGAAAAAAAAAAAGAAATGCAATCTTGACATTTACTGTTTCATCAGTAAACATGACAACTATATTAAAGTCGTGATTTAAAGAATAGGAAACACACAGTGGCATAATGGTTAAACAAGTCTTACAGAATATACACTTGTGTAGTGAGTTTAATGTTTCCTAGGAGCTCTTCTTATAGGGCCTTGTGCCAGATTTAGTTAAGATGAATATACTAAGGAATAAGAGTAATGGTTCTGGAGAAATTACTATAAATAGTAACATTTTTCTTTTTACTAGTGTTCACTCAATACAAAGCCCAAGAGCCACTCAAGATAGAGGGTTATTGTGTGTTGTTGTATTAGTGTAAGAAAGAGCAAAAACTGAAGTTCTTGGGGTATATGCAGAAAAGATAACAGCTAACTAGATTTCAAAAGGTCAAGATTTAATTAGTGAATAACATTTCAGAGTTCCATCAGAGACATTGAAAGTATAGTGTGGAA